TTCTGGTGTAAGGAGAACCTTTTGCTATAACTATATTTTAAAGCCTCTATAAAACATGACCCACATGTAAAGTGGGAATACATTAACCGTCAGTCAAGGAGTATTCACAACATGAGACATAATTTAATGTTCATCCCAGGCCCTTTAAATCCTATAGATGTTCCCCCACATTTTAAACACCGAGGGGCTATTAAAGAGACGGGGATTAGTGCAAATTACCCAGTATGTAGTGCTTTCACTGTTTTAACTAAGCAATAAAACTGTGTAATTGTACAACACTAATTGAATGCAGCTACACATAATTGTGGGCCGCCATATGTATCCTATTACCATAAAGACTGTCAGTATTTTGTAAGCTACTCTTGTGATCATTGCAGATGGCTACAGTCAGAGAAGTTGTTCTCTAGGGTTTATTATAAGGCTATAAAGACATCCTATGATTTGACAGACTAAATGTGTTAAATGGCAACAATTATGAAAAAGGTTCCAATTAAAAGCTGAAGGCACATCCTACCAAGAATGGATATAGTGAAAGGTCAGGTATGTAGATTTTTGGGGCACATTGGGATTTAATACAGGATTTTTCTTTTTTAAAGAAGCGTTTTATTTTTGTTTCTTTTTCATTTATTTGGGGTTTTGCACTAGCTGCAACTTGCTGAACAGTAGATGTTTTGGCATATGCCTGACTTCCCTTGGATGGGAAACTGAGACCATTTGGAAAAGTTATTTGAAAAAATAAAACATTTAATATATAGTCATAAAATGCAGCCGGTGGCCATAAAATAATATGAAAATTCACAGATAACCTGAATCCAGTCAAATGGTTTCTGAGATTCCCATAATACAGCACTAAAAGCTGACTAAAAGAACAGATGTGTTGGAACAAACATAATAATGTTGCTATCAATTCAAGGATAACCCTGTTGAAACGCTGGCTAATGAATCATTAGTAACCACTGAAATAGTTTTCACAGAGGCACTCAGTAGATACTAAAAATTATTTCACCAAATAGAATTGAACAAAAGTGGCATGGAAAAAGGTCAATTTACTTTTTTAGCATATATGAGATCCCTTTAAAAAGACATTGATTTTCCTCCAGCCATGGTATATGGCCTTTATGATGTTTTCAAAGGAAAATGGATTAAATTTAAATCTTTAATCTCTAAGAAGTGAAAAAGTGAAATATAACAACATTTAAGCAGGGAATTATTTTGTGAAATACACTTTATGGCTCACATACTTTTGAATTAGATCTCCTGGGGGAAAAAAAAAACAACTCTAATAAAAAAAAACCATTTTATAGCCACATGTAAAATATTTATGAACTCAAAAGTTAAATTAAATAATAAAAACAGTGAAAGTTGCGTAGAAGTCAGAAAGGAGGACATCAGAAGAGAAGTAACAATATTAAAGGGAAAAAAATCTCTTTCAAAGTGTTATATTGGAGATATCTGGGAAGATAGAGAAGTGAACGGAAACTCCAGGAAACCTGATTCTCGCCCTAAATTTAAAATAGTCATAAAACTATCTAAAAAGAGTTCTATGCAGCTGCAGGGAGATACACAAAACACGCACGTTCCGGATTCTGTTAGGAATTATACAACCTAGGATTTTGCCAAAACTGTGGGAACACGATGTCATTGCAATTTTTAAAAATGTTATTAGATTTTTGTCACACAATTATTACCCAATATGTCACCGGAGAAAAACTAGAAAAGACAGATCATTATACAGGAAAAGGAACTAAACTCACCCATAATCTTGACATCCAGAAATATTAGTCCTCAATAAATGGCAGTGGCAGTAGTTGAGTAGTTAGCATTTATTGCACTAAATAACGTTTTGGGAAAATGTTGTGTGTCTTCTGTTTTCCCTCAACTTTCATCCAAATTCAGAAAGCAGAATTTTGTTTCTAAACACCCACAAAAAAGGATCATTCAATTTCTGCTTGGACACTTATAATGACTACAAGCTACCTGTAATAAAGACCATTTAATTTTCAAACAAATGAAATTGTTAGAAAGTTTTTTTTTCCCTTATGTTAACCCTAAATCTTTGGCTCATTAATGTCTTCTCTTTAAGTTTTAGTTCAGCACTCTCGAATACAACACAAAAAAGTCCTCCCATCGTCCATGTGGCAGCCTTTCCGGTATTTGATGAGAGCCACCATGCCCCACGTGGCCCATCCCTTCTCTGGGCCAACCCCAGGTCCCAGACAGGACACAATCAGGTTATTACCATAGGGGTGATGTGGTAGGAGCCAAGCTGAGGACGCTTTTGATGGCAACACTCTCTCATGGAAAGAAGTCTAACGACACATTGATATTTTTAGCAGCCGGGTCACACTGAGACTCACACCCGATTAATAGCCTTTTATGGGTCAAGTAATAGCCTTTTGACCTGCAGTGAGACAAGTTTTCTCATTACCATTTTTCTAAAATCGTCAATAACACCAACTACACCAACTACACCAAAACCACTTAGTCCATAGGGATTCATGTTTATCTCTTGTTAAACTTCATATTATGAAATTTTGAGCCAAAGGTATTTTTGGATCTCAATCCTGTCATTTGGTATAATACGTCTTCATTTCAAGTCACTGGTAATGCTGGTCAGGGCAGGGCTGGTGACAGGCTCACGGGAGACCACTGGCTCCCTTCCTCTGGGTAACCCCCAATCCAACACAGTGCGGTGGCTCAAGTTCACGGTACAGGGGACTGGCTACAAATCTGTCCATGACCTCTAGACACATTCTGTCTGTGGCGCTGGCCTTGTCTATCAGTGTAGTTAGCTATCCTGTGACAAAATGGATTTATTTGGGGATTAAGAGTCATGGGAATCAAGGCAGAAGGAAATCCGTTATTTTATGAGCACGGTGTGGGCTTGAACTGGAAACTAGGAAGAGCTGCAGCACAACCAACGACCATCACTTGGGGTGAACAGGAATAGCTTATTGCTGATATTATCCATCGAATGAAAATGAGGCTCGTGAGCTGCATGTGTCGCTTTGATGGGCAGCTAAGAGCAGGCACAGACACTTAGAGAGTTTCTAAAAAAAAAAAAATTCTGACCAAGAGAAGCAGTTTCTCTGAGAAACTTTTTTTTTCTAGAAAGTACTGGGGAGTTTGGGAGGAAAAAGGTTTTTGAACATACATTTTTGTATTTGAAGAAAATGACTGTATTTCTGGAATCTAATAAAAACTAGTGATGTAAGTTATATTTTTGCCAGTAAGGACTTTAATTTTCACAAGGAAGTGGCATCTGTGTACACATTTTTTAAAAGACCCCCCCAGCTCCCCGGAAGAAACACAAGCAGCTACTGATGGTTTTGCTGCCAAGGATACAATCTTGCCATCTGGTGGTGACTCGTGGGAACTGAAGGCATTAAATTTTTGTTTTTTTTTTCTCAGAAAAGCAAAAAGTTGCTTTAGTCATAAACAATCATGGCATACACACACACATATGCACATGTGCACAAATACACATACACACATGCATACGTAGTGGTCCTGTGCATAAACTGGGGAAGCACTGAGCTTTCTCTCCCTGTTCAGCGAGGTTTGTACTGAAGCCAGTGTGAGTCCTCCACGAGACAGATGAGTTGGGAAATGGCTGAGGCTTATCAGGTGGGCTCTGTCCTCTATTCCAGGAAGAAGTATCACTCATTCACTCACTCATTCATCTCATCCACTCTGACATCCACCTGTCCATATAATTATTAAGCACCAGCCTGACAACAAGTAAAGCAAAAAGAACCACATAAAATCATGGGCATGATTAACCTAGGGGATAAAAGCCTTAGTAATAATACAATAATAAATTTATAAGAAGTACTTTTTATTGGGTCAGTTCCCAATTTTCACCTAAAATGCGACTGGAAACATCACTGTAAGTCAAATATATTTTCTCATTAAAATACTTTGACCTGTTAAAAAACTTAGAGTTAAACAAATCATTTATATGATCAATTTACATCCTTAAGCTCAAGCTATATTTTTATATTGTTCTATAAGAATTAAAAATAAAAATGCTAAAAGTTCTATGTACACAATTTTGCTACATAAAATAAAATATATAC